TCGACGTGGCAGCGTCTGTTGCTAATGCTGCAGTCATTCGACGTGGCAGCGTCTGTTGCTAATGCTGCAGTCATTCGACATGGCAGCATCCGTTGCTAACGCTGCAGTCATTCGACATGGCAGCATCCGTTGCTAACGCTGCAGTCATTCGACATCGCAGCATCCGTTGCTAACGCTACCGTCGCTAACGCTAAGCATCCGGCCCGCGTGTGCGGTCGTCGCTCATCGCTTCGCCGCCGTGTGTTTCAGTGTGAGCAGTGTGAGAGCGAGCTGAGCCAGCTCGTGCACCAGCGGCGCGTGCTGCTGCGCTCCTGCATGGAGCAGATGCACACGTACTGTACCGTCGTCGCGCAGTACCCGCCCGCCTACCTGCAGATCAACCGCGTCGCCAGGTGGAGCCACTGGCTGCGACAGCTGCTCGACGATTGGACGCAGAGCAGGTGAGTTTCCGCGTGGCTCTAGGAGCCACCTATCTCTCTGTGCTCTTTCGTAGTGTGTGTGTCGAAGAGGTGACATCTGTGACACACCTGGTGCGTATGACCTCATCCGCAGCAGATGGATTATTGTTTGTGTGTGTGTGTGTTCGTGTGTGCGTGTGTGTCCTCGTGTGCGTGCCTCTGTGTGTGTGTTTGTGTGTACGTGTGTGCGTGCATGTGTGTGTGTGTGTGCGCGTGTGTGTGTGTGCGTGCGTGTGTGTGCGTGTGTGTGTGTGCGTATGTGTGCGCGTGTTGTCTGCAACTATTGCCTGGTAAGCGGTGGCGTTACCGTCGTGACGATCGTGTCTCATCGTTGTCGTTGTCGTCGTGCGGTGTCGGTGCGCAGGTGTCAGCAGGTGGTGAGTGAGTTTCACCGACACTACGGAGACGCAATGCAAGCTCTCTCGACGAGTCAGAGCATGCTGGCCATCGAACTGAAGCTGTCCAGTGTCATCGCAGACACCAACACCAAGCTGCTCAAGGTTAGAGACACTGCGCTCATGTGTATATATATATATATATATTTATATATTTATATATGTATATCGGTATTATTACTTTCAAGGGCGTATTAAGAATTATAAGCATGCTTAATATGCTCTTAGTCTTGTTATTTTACATCGGTATATATTTATATATACCGAAATATCTCATATATGCGTACATACGTACACACACACATATATGTACTATATGTACATATATATATATATATAGATAGATACATACGTACGTACGTACGCACGCACGCACGCATGCACGCACCTACGCCGTATTTTGCCACCTCACCCAAGATGATGTAGGTGATAAGGGGCACCATGTACATAGCAATAGTAATGAATAAGCTATTGATTGATTGATTGATTGATTGATTCTTTGACTCATGTGTGTATGTGTGACTTATAGCTGGCAGAGAGGCACAACCAGGAGGCTGTCAACCCTGATCATCTACAGCAGGCTGTCGAGGAAACCAGTGCAAACATCACTAAGTTCGTGCAGGGTAAGTGTCAACTGGGAACAGGTTTTCTGCACATTTTTCTGCAGGTTTTCTACACATTCAAACAAACACAAGTTGTTCACTCACGTCACCGTAAATACTAAAAGTAAACAAAATATTTCCACCTTTTCACAAAATGTGACTAATTCTGTTAACTTTTTATTGTTAAATTGCTGCATTATACTTCATATTTTACTATATTTTGTTCGATGTAAACGTACACTCGTGACTCATACATAGCCCATAGTAAGCAATTAATGTCAGGATCATAATATAAAATCGTCCAGGTTTTTTGGGTTTTTAACTAGTTGTGAAACAATCTTATCAGGTAAGAATTTGACGATACATTTAGTCCCGTTAGTACTTACTTTTAATGTAAAAAATGGCAACAAAGATTTTACGAATATACACCATAGAAAATTCGTGACGTAGTCAATTTAATAGTGCTCTCCACCTCTGCGCCTTTTCGTCCGTTGATCATGGTGGTGCACTCCAGTCTCATCGTTTCTTGCGTGCTACTATACCTGGCACGGTGACGATGTCTACCTTTGTATTTATTCGTCACTTATACTGGCACTCTTTGCCTCTGTATATTATCGCGAGTCACTCATGGTGGCGCCCTCTGCCTCTGTATATTATCGCGAGTCACAGAGCGAGGATGAGCAAGAGAGCAAATATGTATGACTGAGATAGCCATGGTAGAAGGGGTGAGAAAGACTCATTCGCAATCAAAACAGCATTACATAACATAGCAAAACATAATCTTATATCAGTTTTACGTTTACCGTCCACCAGGTGGCACTGAACACGATCCGTGGGCCGGGCATTGCTCTGATGTTTTCCGACCTCAGCAAGCCGCTCAACCTGGGTGTGCCTAGCTTTGAACCTGTCGTCGAGTTCCTACAGAATGCAGGGCAGAGCCACACAGTGCAGCAGGTAACAGCAGGGGGACATGATTAATAGTTAATCACAATGGTGTTTTCTTCTGCCAAGATGGCTGCCATCGCAAATTTGGCATTGCATGAGCGGTATGCAGACTGACATGTCTCTGTGATGGAAGGTCTGAGGTTGTCACTTGCACCGCAGCATCCGTCGTTAAGGTGGTAGTCATTCGGCACAGCAGCATGAGTTACTAACACGGTCCTCACCTGGTAACGCAGCATGCATTACTAAGAGGGTCTTCGCTTGGTAACGCAGCATGCATTACTAAGAGGGTCTTCGCTTGGTAACGCAGCATGCATTACTAAGAGGGTCTTCGCTTGGTAACGCAGCATCCGTTGCTATCGCCGTTGTCATTCGACATGGCAGCATCCATTCCATCGCTATTCCCGTCATCGCTCTGTAAGGCAGCATCCGTTGCTAACGCTGCAGGCATTCGACATCGCAGCATCCGTTGCTAACGCTGCAGTCATTCGACATGGCAGCATCCGTTGCTAACGCTGCAGTCATTCGACATGGCAGCATCCGTTG